CTTGTTATCACAACTATTTCCATAGAGTAGGCATATCTTGTCAAGACCCACATTAAGAAACTCTTCACTGTTCTACCAAGGATTTCTCAACACCTTTTAGATTAACATAATGACGTAGATATTGAAAATAGGAACTTCATAATGAGTAAACATATATTGAAGTTCTGTAATACTGAACTACTAGCACCTAATACTAGTCTTGTGCTTACCTTGAACTGCAGCATTTCATTCTTGTGGTAGGTCACGAGCAGGCGCAGGGGGCTCACAGGTGTGGAGGGGAAGGCAGTGACATAAGGAGAAGACTTCAAGGAGATGTCAGCTGTGGCCCCATGGGAGTTATACTGCACATTGCTGACTGAATACAGATCGTTCACAAAGTAGCAGAATGGGACCCCAGGGATATTGGATGCCTGAGAAGGAAAGTCAAGAGTGTGCATCAGCATGTGGGCCTACCGGTATCAAGTAGCAAGGGCTAGGAAAGGCCATCCCATCATTCCTGGACCTTGTTTCCTTTAGATAGTGCCAAGAATTCACATTTCTATATCAAGAAAACATTTATGTAAAATGCCCCACTCTTTTTTCCGCCTGTCTTCACATCTGGTTGAGGTGTCTTGGGGAGTCCTTTCTGTGCATGGATTCTAAGTGGATGATTAGGTCTTGGCATCTCCTCGTGCATTACAGGTGAGGTGCAGAGCTGTCAGGAAAGGGTCACATCCTCAGGGACGTTACCTCCCAGGCGCAGCCTCGGGCCGTGCAGCTGGCCTCAGTAGCTCCATGCTCGTCAGGATAACAGTCTATCTTCTCCTCGTCTCTTGTGCTGATTTCCCACTGTACTGTGTATGCTTCTCCCAGGACTAGATGGATGCCTGTGATCACAGCGACCTGTGGGAATGCAGAAGTCACATTAAAATATGTCCACAGGACACAGGCCTTCCAGAATCTGAGTCTTTAAAATGAGACAGAATCTCAACAATGCAAATAACATACTCTTTTTTTTGTTGTTGTTTATGGGGCTTGAACGCTGGGCCTGGGCGCTGTCCCTCAGCTCTTTAGCTCAAGACTAGTGCTCTACCACTTGAGCCACAATGCCACTTCTGGTTTTCTGGTGGTTTCTTGGAGATAAGAGTCTCACAAACTTTCCTGCCCAGGCTGGCTTTGAACCATGTTCCTCAGATCTCAGCCTCCTGAGTAACTAGGATTATAGTCATGAGTCACAGCCCAGCGGGACATACTCTTTATAGGAAAAGAAGTGTATATACAGAGTGACTATGTTCAATGATCTTGTAACTTCCATTGTGGAAACAAAACAGTGGAATAAAACCTGTTATACTCTTTCATTTGTGTCTTTCCTCCTTGGCCTCTCTATATTCTTTTTTTTTTTCAGAAAGTCTCTGCTATTCTTTCTAAATTGATCCATTCTTCATTTCCACCACTCCCCAGATCTAGGTTAACCCTCTGTTTTGGTTCTTTTTCCCTTCACGTTCACATTTTTCTCTGGAATCTTGCACACATTTTTGACTCTTAGATGAGTCCACTGCACAAGTGTGGAATTGGAAACATCATTTCATTTCCTTCCATTTCTAACATACAGCCTTTGTACTACTGTAAGCCTTACTGGTTATAACTGAAAATCGTCTGTGTGTGGGGGGGGGTGTGGGTGTGGGTGTGGGTATGGGTGTGGGTGTGAGGGGGGGAGAAGGGGATACTGGAGACTGAAGTTAAGACCTTGTGCTCTTTCTTAGCTGTTTCACTTAAAGGTGACCTATTGCCACTTGAGCCATATTTCTTGCAAATTGGAGAAAAGACTCAAATACATTTCTCTCTGAGTCACCTTTAAACATGATCCTCAGATCTCAGCCTCCAAACTAGCTAGGATTACAATTATAAGCCAACAACACTTGGTTTTGTAAACCATAATTTAATTGAATCTCACACATTAATGAATTATTCGGTGTTTTTAAGTGTCTAATATTTGACTTTTCCTCAAATAACACTTTCCAGGATTATCAAATTAATGTCCTGAAGCAATAAAATCCCCTTTTAAGGACTAGCATCGCCCAGTTTAAACCATCCTACACTTTCCTCTCCTGCCAGGCTCCCACCTCTCCCACAATCAAGAAAACCTGAATTCCAGGTTCATTAAATCACCCTTTGAGATTTTTCTAGCTCTGTTCTTCTGCCCAAAAGAAACTATTCTGAAAGTTAAGACAGCAGAGAGAGCAGAACACTCAGGGTAGGGAAGTTAGTGTGCATGGAGACCACTTGACTTTTCCTCTGTTCCCCAGTAGCACCTCAACTGGTTCTGGCTTGGATCAGCGCCTCAGTTTCACATCCTGCCCAGCATACTGACCTCCTCTGATTGGTTTCATACAGGGTCCTGATCTTTCCTGAACCCTTGAACTTGGCAGACCATGACACTGTGAAGATCTCTTGGAAAAAAAACAGTTCAGCTTAATACTCTTACCCTCAGGTTAGGATCATAAGTGATGTTAGGCGACATTGGAGCTAGGACACCATTCTGTTTCACTGTGATGTTGCTCAGTGCCTTGGTCCCAAAGATTTTAATCTTCTGGAATGCTAAGTTATTGGGATCTTTGTAGGCTGATTTGGAAATAGTCACATTCAGGTGTGTCTGCAAAACAGTGAAGCCTAATTAGGCATGAAATTGGATCTCTAGTATTCAGATTCTCTTGTCTCTCCAAAGCTCTACCAGAGACCACATACTCCTCAGACTCTGATACCCATGAGCTCTCTACCAATGTGTGCACAGTGACAGGGAACTGATTTTAATAAAACTTTTTAGATAATAAATAAATATATGCACAGACATTTTATCCAGCAGCACTGAACACACCATCTACTTTGATATGTCCACATCATTCCCTCCTTTGAATGACACAGATAATGCAATTATTGAAAATTAAATCATAAATGGAAATTTGTTAACCTATGGTCATTCTGGCAAATGACATTTGAAACATAAGTACAAGTATGTACTAAGAGACTAAGACACATAAGATTCATGAAAATGTGCTACTCACCTGGCTGGCAGAAAACTCACATAAAACATAAACATTATTGGCCACAGTATCTGAAAGCAGTAGAAGGAAAGCCAAGTCAGAATAGGCTCCTCACCCCAGAATAAATTTCACCATCTTACTCCTTAAAGCTGAATCTTGATGTCCCAAATAACATAATTTTCTTCTTTCTGTGATCAAATATACTACATTTCATGTATGTACCACAACTTCTTTACTCATTCATTCTTCTATGAGTAGACTATAATGGTTATTTACATACTTTTTTATATGAGTAATGCTGCAAAGAACACAAGACTATAGCTATTTCCAGGCATACAGTTTGCATCGGATACAAGCCTCAATAGGATTTCTGGATCATATGGTAGTGTTGTTTTCACTATTTTAAAAACCTTCTGTACTGTTTTCCACAAGGGAAGAGAGTGACTTTCTCACCAATAGTATGTCAGGTTTTGTTCCATTTTTCCATATCCTCTCCCACAATGGTTCCCTTATCTTTTCCACAGCAGCTATCCTAACAATTCTGTGATGTGTCATTGTGAGTTTTATGTTTGCATTTCTCTGCTCATTGTTGGTTCTTGGTACATTTCTTTTTTTGTTGTTGTTGGCCATTGTGTGTCTTCTTTGCAAAGATTCCATTCAGATAATTTGCCCATTTCCAAATCAAGTTATTATTCTCTATCTATTGAGTTACAAAAACTCCTTCTATATTCTTAATATTAGATCTTATCAGATATGTGATTTGTATACATCTTCTGTAATTCTCTGGGTTTCCATTTCACTTTGGGTTTATTGCTTTTTTTCTAGGGTGCAGAAGCTTCTCAGTTTCATGTGGTACCACTTGTTAATATTTTTGCTCTTGTTTTTTTAGGCCTCTGTTTTTTCTAATATATCCCCAAATTCCTCCTAAGAACAATGCCACAAACTTTCACACTACGTTTCTCCCTAGGGGTTTTATTTATGCTTTCACCCGTTAAGTTTGAGTCTTTAATACATTGTTCACAATAGCCCAGATGTGAAGGTGACGCATATGTCCATCAGCAGCTAAATGAGTAAAGAAATTGTGACAATTTACACATTGGGGTATTAGCCATCAAAACCAGAAATCTCAGAGTCTGTTACACAGCATGAATCTAGAGTCTGGGACACTCAGTGAAATAAAGCAGATACCAAAAGGACTCTGAGGTCTTATTTACATATGAATCTAAAAAATGTGGGGGTAGCTCACAGGGGAAGATGTTGGCCAAAGTATATAAAACCCCTGATAATAAGAAATTCAAGTTGCATAATGTACACATGCAAGTTACTCACCTTGAATACATTCAATATTTGTGAATTAAGTACGTGTCTAAATGAGAGACACTTTAGAAAGCCATACGTAAGATTGATGACATTAATAAGAGTATCTAAAACCAACCTATACAGCTCTGCCTTCTCCCACCACTGAAAAGTTGAAATGATTTCTCTTCCTAGTGCTTTTGAGGCATTGGTACCTAGATTCCATGTCCTAGCTACAGCCACAGGAGGTTGTACACCTGAGTCAGAACCATGTGCGGAAGCCCAGCCAGACACACACGGAGAAGGAAAGGGTGTCCTCTGTGCCTCACTGTCACAAGCATGTCTTTTCCTCAACATCTGTTAATTGCTTTCTTAGGGGAGATATTTACGATATGGAAAAATGACAAGAACAATCCATTTTTTTCCAGGTACACATTAGCAATTGAGTGCCTGTAACATATCCCTGCCAAGGGAGAATTCTGAGAGACAGAAACATGTTCTCCTGTCATCTCCGGTTCACCCGCTACCACCTCTGAAAGCTATAACTAGAAACCAAACCCTCTTTTCAAGAACTTTGCTGTTGTTCCTGGTGAGAATGCTCTCCCAGGGAAGGAGCAGCAGAGGGAAGGGCCAAAGGCAAACACGCAGGTTTGGAAAAGGCAAGGTGCCCAAAACAACACTCACCCTTTGACTGCCCATCATCCCAGAAAAGTTCACCTCTGGCTTCATTGTTCTCATCCAGGGCAATGATAAGACCAAGAGGGTTCTGGCGGCTGCAGGAGACAAGACTCACGTGAGAGACAAAAATGGCCGCCCAAGAATTTTACCAAATGCTTCCATCAAACTTCATTTGGGAAATTATATAGCACTGCTCTCTATAAGGGATAAAGATGAAAATACCAGGTGCATCTTAGTCTGGCATCAGTACAGACACAGAGCACAGACTACCCCATGAGTTCCCAATGAACATCCACAGAGGAAGCCAGGGTGTGCGCATCAGAATCACAGCTGTGGCTGCAACTATAATTTGGTCACAAACTATTGAAAGAGAAGAAAATCCCAGACAACAGGGCACAGTGCGCCAGTTCTCTTCAGAGATGACATCTGAGGAGAAGAAGCAGCTGATGTAAGGGAGAGACACCATTTCCCCAAGGACATTTGGACTCAAAAGGAAAGTCAATCTATATAATGGCAACTTTTCTTACTTAACTACTTATTGTTTTGTTCTGACAAAAAGAAAAGTCTCGTCATCTGCATTATAATTCAAAGAGATGGTGAACTGGATGGCTGTGGAGGAGGGAGAAAGCAAGCAAGTTCACTTAGAATATTCTCCATTTCTCCTCTCCTCCGCCCTTCCTGTGCTCCTCACTGCTCTGGGGTTTCCTACTGTCTCCGCCCCAGTTCAGCCTTCCTCATGCAGGTCAGGCCCCACCATCACCATCATCTGTTCTTGTTATGGTGTTCTGTGCTAAACAGTTCATGATATGCAAAGATGAACAGAAATGATGGTAATCACAACTCTTGACCTTTGAGAACTCAGTAAGGAAGAAAAGATTAGAAACATCCCCCCAAATACAGCAGCAATGAAGTGACACAAAAGTGAAGATCCTATGAGAATACAGGAGGACGCTTCCAGAAGTATTGGGACAATCTGGAAGACTGTCTACTAAAATACTACTCAATCCTACATTACTTACAACACATACTCCTGTGAATTAAACATTAATTACTCAATAAAAGTCAATAAGCACATAAATATGGTTGCAGTTATAAGGAAGACCCACTTTGGGGTCCCTACCAACACATTGAAACATCACTAATTATACCAAGTAATAAGCCGGCATGAAGGAAGCTTGCACAAATAAATCTTTGTATAACCCAAGGAATACAGATGAAAGCATTTTCAAATGCATGGCATTGAATAATTATGATTTTATTAATAATTATAATACTTATAAATGTAAATATAATTATAATATTTAATAACATTAAACAGAAATCAAAATTGCAGTAAGGAGAAAACATAGATAATTTGAAGATAATTTGAAATGACCAGAATGGGGATGCAGAAGTCTCTAGAAAACCGGAGACATGCTTCACAGATGAAATTGGAATGTAAGTTGGATGGTTGTATATACACCGGCGTTCATCCAGTCACAAAAAGTGATATCAACACAATAGGTCCCATGGTTTCCCTTATTTGCAATAACTAGTATATGTCTGGGACAAGGAGAAAAGGTCAAAAGCTATGGACACATGACCAGATAACATGAAGTTAAGTGAAATGAACCCCAAGATAGGGACACCAGTGTTTTTATTTCTTTCTTGCTATTGTTTCTAATGTATTTATAAGGTACCATGTGATTTTTTTTTTGTTGCTTTGTATGTTCCTCCCCCACGGTATAACTCCTGTTTTCACTGTATTTGATATTTGTATAATTTGGGGATGGGAGGGGAAAAAACAAAGGTTTAAATAGGGATACAGGTTGACCCATTGTATCAATGAGATATACAAGACACCATGTTGAAAAACAAACTTTACAATATAGGCAGCAGGTCGGGGGAGAGTGTAGTTGTGGAGGTGGGAGGGAAGGGATAGGAGGGGAAAAACAAAAGAGGAAGCAACAATGCTTGATAAGAAATGTACTCATTACCTTGCTCATGTAACTGTAACCCCTCGGTATAGTATTTTCACAATAAAAAAATATTAAAAAATAATTTTAGAAAACTAAATCTAATAAAATGCTTGTAAAAAAGAAAAAGAAAAATGAGACCTCCAATTTGATTGAGCCATACCATTTCTGGTTACAAACCTGAAAGCACAGGTCAGCTTACTGTAGAGACAGCAGCACAGCTGTGGTTAGGGAAGAACTATTCATAACCAATTACGGAATCTGCCTAAGTGACCACCAGCAGATGAGTGGATAAAGAAAAGACATCATGGGCTGAGAAGGTGGCTCAGTGGTAGAGCACTTACCTTGCATGCCTGAGGCCCTGGCTTCGATTCCTCAGCACCACATAAGCAAAAAGAAAAAAGCCAGAAGTAGTGCTGTGGCTATAGTGATAGAGCGCTTGCCTTGAGCTGAAGAGCTGAGGGACAGCGCCCAGGCCCAGAGTTCAGGCCCCATGACCGGACCCAAAAAATAAATAAATAAATAAATAAATAAAAAACAACAAGAATATATATTTTTTAAAAAAGAAAAGACATCATATACACAGTAGGATTCTATTTGTAAATACCCTATTTTTTTCAGATTCTATCAGAATCTCTGAAGGCATGTAACAGAGGGTCTACATTATAAAGTATGGTATCAGACAGACAGGGATCTTAGATATGTTCAGCTTCATACAAGCCATGGGGCAATAAGTCACTAGGCCTTTCTTCTCTCATCTGTGAAATGGTGACATTAAAGATATCCACCCCAAGTTTAGGGTTTTTTTGCTTTTGTTAAAGAAAAACAAAAACATCTCCAAACACAATGCTCATAATACATAATTCAAACACACAACAAGATCATTTGATCTTAGTTCCTGCTAATTATTGTATGGGCCTACATCTGTCATTTTTTATCTTTTAAAACAGGAATATCAACTCCTGATGACAGCTGCCATATACCTTACGCAATGATTTCATCAATAGGTTTTGGGGCAAGTACAATTCACACAGACTTTGGAAGCACCCTGATCATATGTGCCTGTCTGATTTTTGCTTCAATGTCACTTCTTAGACCAATCATTAAATTCACATCTAAAATACATGGGAATTGTTCAGATACAAAGATGAAAGAAGACTAAAACAAAACAAACAAAAGATCATGTGTTCAATAATATGGCTTTGGGCCTTGAGAGCGGAGTCTAGGGGATTGAGGTCTCTCCCTGCAACTAAGTGAGCAACCAGCATGCAAAGCAGAGCCCGGTCCCCCCACTCACCTGAGGTGGGTGTTCAGTGCAGGCTCCTGCCAGGGCAGGATGTGGCCCCCACGCACATGAAGATTGATGTGGTCCAGAGGTGCTGGCAGGACCTTCCACTCTCTGCTTGCATTGATTTGTGCACCCTGTGGGCCGGAGGAGGAAGGGATGGTGAGTGAGAGGTGACAGACCTAACCTGAGCAGTGCAGGTACCTGACATCTAAGCTGTCCCTCTGTCTTTGACACCTGTCCATTACCTGCTGGCATACACCCAGGACATACTCTTCCATTCACCTGTTATTGATTGAAATCTTGTTTGGCTTCTAAATGTCTTGTAAGAATCCCTGGCCCATTTAGGATTATTACAGCATGTGCAACATGAACTACTCTCATAGATACCAACCAACACTACCTCTACAACCAGTATCTAAGTCACAGAGCACTGTTCAGCAGTCAGAAAATCTTTCCTTCCCTTCCTAACACATTCCCCATAAAGAACTGTGAGACCTTCTCTTGGAACACTAGATGCCTCGGGTCACACAGGTCTTTGTTGGGAGGCTGACCCATGCCTTTTTTCCTTAAATTTGAGCAGCCTCCTCCATAGCTAAATATCCATGTCAGTAGCATCCCTTCCCCTGATCAAATTGTGATCGTTGTAAGAAACTCCACTCACTGACAAGTATCTAAATAAACAAAATGCCCATCTTTTTAAAAAAATGTTCCTTAGAGGCAAGAAAGAATTGCTACTGACAAATATACAAATGTACATGACTGTATTCCATTAAAACATTCTGTGTAACATGCTTTCTTATGGACCATTCTTTACTAATCTCTACTCTAACCTAAAGACCAGATATCCTAGATATCCCATAACTTATGAATACTAATTAATGGCCCATTTACCTATTAACTAATTTGAACCCTCTAGTCTTCATTTTAGTTTCCAATGCAAATGTTTTTCACTGACTTCCTTGCTCTATTAACATTCAGCTTTCTGTGTGATTTAGTCTAGTCTTTCACCACCATAGTTTCCTTCAATTGACAGTCTTGTGTTAACATGGTAAGTCATTAAATAGTTTATATAATTCATTTTCATAATGAGTTTCTCCTAATTAAAATGTTTGAAATTTTTAAATCACACCTAAATTAATGCTTTCCCTCATCCATTATATAAATCAAAGCATGTGTAAAACCAGCCATTCCAGGCAAATGTAGGACCAAGTTTACACTTCACACTTAGAGAGATGCTTCACATGTCACTTCCAGACACTTCTTTACAGTGAGTCTGAAACCTCAGTTGAAGTAAAAACACTTGAGGCTCCGTGGCTGCAGGGACTTGTCCAAAATGAATTGGCCCCCTTTGACCTGAGGGCTTTCAGGTCAAACCTCTATACTCAACTTTCCCCAGGCTGTATAAACTTTTATCAAAACTTACCGTGTAGTAATCATACCAGTGGGCTTTAGGGAAATATGCTGTCACATTTCTGGCATTCTGAAATTAAACACAAATAGAAGGTGGGCTTGGGTGCCATACAGATCAAGCAATCTGCATACAGAAGGGGCGCTAGAGCACTGCCGGAATGGGATCATGGGCCTCAGGTCTCCTGAGACCAGCAAGGTTGGGGAAGCCTCCTTCCCCTCCCTCTTCTCAAACAGTAGAGGGGAAAATCTTGCCATTGCTAACAGATTTACCAATCCCCTCTCTAAAGAGGCAAACACTTAAAGTGGTTCTAGAGTAAAAAATAAAATTATACAGATACAAGAAGCTTGAGCAAGGTGTCATTGGGGCATTTTAATAAACATACTAATCATTCACAGATGAAGAAAAGAAATAGCTTTTCCTGCCTGCCACACCGTGTCATAGAAAGAAGGAAGGGGTTGGCCAGCAGCTGCAACATAACCCCATTGCTTCAAGCTATTCTGGGAGCTGTGCTTCAATGGTGACATGGGAATGTGCTGAATTCATTCATTCAGTACGTGACACTGTGCTCCTTATTTTACTTAGTGAAAATCTGATCACCTTCCTCAATTATGTGAGGTCATGTTTGCTCTTGACCATCCTGTAAATCAAACTATTAGGCCAAAATTCAAACTTTCACCCAAGGATAACTACTACTGCATAGAAGGAGAGAAAAAACATGAAGACAGAATAAGAAATCACGTCTCAGGATCACCCAACACAAGGGACAGCCTCTCCTCCCTTGTCACCCAGCCTCACAGCTGGGAGCCTCCACCCATCCCAGGCCTCCACACTCACAGGCTCCAGGACAGGGCTGACCAGGAAGGCTGCGCCCAGCAGGAACTGACTGTCAATAGCCCAGGTCTCCCGGTCAGACACAAACCTGGAAAAGGAAATGAGGTGTCACAGATAGACACCCCTAAGGGCACTGCTCAAGGCCCTGAAAACAACTCAAGAATATACCAACTCAGAAACCCAGTGGCTATCTTACACATTACTGACTTTAATAAGGAAGAGATAATCTCCATTATTCACAGGTCATGACCCCAAACTTCAGCAATGCTGTAGATATGTTTCCTTCTGGGAAACACCACAGTTCCTCACCATGGCACATTGTCAGTGCAAGGGGCCCTCAGCCCTCTCGTCTCCCCTGGAATGCACTCTTCCATCACCTGAGCACACTTGGCCTGGGCCCATATAACCAGCTGCCATAATCATTAGGGATGTCTTTGTAAGACCAAATATGAAAGAAAGAAATTATGCTTTCCTATATTGTTTCAAAATGTCTACACTCAATGAAGTTTCTCATCCATGACCATTGCTGAGTATCACACTGTCTTCTAATGCCAAGTGTAGTATGGTTTCTGCCTGGAAGTCTTAACAACAAGGAAATCACATTTTCCCATTTGAGAAATGGATTGCAGCAACTACCTCCCTACAGAATGACAGGCATTGCCCAGTGCTCAGCAGGATTCCCGCTCGACACTCACTCATGGAGGAGAGGCCGCACCACAGTGACGCCCTCCGTGTTGGCCTTGTGCATCAACGTGTAGAGATATGGCAGCAGGGTGTATCTGGTCTCTATGACACTCCTGGAAAGATCCACAAAGGCAGCATCCCAGGACACAGGGTCTTGTCTCTAAAGAACAAAAAGAAGAATGTTCTGTACTTGCTGTGGGAAACCAATGGGACTTAGTGAAATCATTGCTGGAATTCATTTCCTATCAATCACACACAACTAAACTAAAGATAGATATGGATGACACTTCCTTTAAAGGACATTATTAATAGCTCAAGGCTCACCAAAGCTCTGTCTACAGAAGGAAAAACTTCCCCTTAATGGGCTCTTAGAGTATGCGGGAGATGATTTCTTCTAAAGGAAGGAATCATCCTTTCAATACTGAGGACTATGATTCCTGAGATGAGGCTAGAGGACTTCGAGGATGTCCCCAGAGAATACACACTGCATGAGCTGCGCCTTGAGGCTCATGTGCCACAAAGCAGGGAGAGGAGAGCAGACGTCCTACCCTGGTCCCGATGGTGTTGTGGTTCCTGGAGAAGGGGTAGAAGGCCCCCAGCTGCATCCAGCGAGCACACATCTCATACTCCGCATCTTGAAAGAACCCACAGATGTCTGCCCCTGTCTGAAACAAGAACAACACAACGAGCCTCCTGCACAGTTCTCAGAGATGTGCCATCTCCGTGTCCATCAAGAGGAGCCAAGGTCACTTACATAGGACATGCCAAAGAGGCTGAACTCCATCATGCCTGCAAGGAGAAGCACAGCTGGGTCAGGCCGGGCTCTCCTGACCTGCCTCCTCCTCCTCCTCCCTCACCAGGCTCCTAACCCCTGCCCTGGGGAGGGCAGAGCCCTGGGAGCAAAGCCACACACCAATGATAGATTTCTTCAGCTGGTCCCAGGCAGCGGTGTTGTCTCCCAGCCAGTGTCCTGCCCAGCGTCCAGAAGAAGGGAATGTGGAGCGGGTGATGACGATGCCTCTCTGCCCTGTCACCTCCTGCACGGCCCTGGTTGGAGGAAGCAGGGGGAGAACTGAGGCTGGAGCAGGTGCCGGAAGGCTCTAGAGCACCTGCCATCCTCCTTCCTCACTACTGACTAGGAACTCTATCCTTATTCTCTTTCCAACAAAAGCAACTCAACAGAGAAGGGCAGCCATTGCTCTGAAGGTACCAGATTTAAAAAGAAAAAAAAAATAGTGTTCCTAACAATGCCCACATTGTTCCAGTAGAGGCAGTAGTTCACGACTATGTGTTCCCTAGTTTGAACCTCTTTCCCCATTTGAAAACACACAGCCTGCCAGGTGGCTCATGCCTGTAGTCCTAGCTATCTAGGAGGCTAAGATCTGAGGATTGTGATTCAAAGGCATCCCTGGCAGGAAAGTCCATGAGACTCTTATCTCCACTAACTACCAGAAAACTAAAAGTGGTACTGTGGCTCATAGTGCTAGCCTTGAGCAAAAGAGCTGAGGGATGGTACTAAGGCCCTGAGTTCAAGCCCTAAGACTGAAAAATAAAAATAAAAACAAGAGAAAACACAGCCTAAGGACATGAACCCTCAAATGACAATCTAACAACAGGATCCTCAGGAAAGACTATTGGTATAGAAGGTAATTAGTAACTAAATAGCCAGAGCATCCATTTATAAAAAAAAAAAAAAA